ATAGCAATGTTATATACTAGGAAAACGGAAACCGTCGGAGAGTCCGAAGCAGTATCGCAAGTAGCACAAAAATAAAATTTTAAACCAAAAATAAACGTATCACAAAAAAAGAAGTATTATTAGATGAGGACGATAATCAGGATCACTTTTTTTTGTATCTAAAAAAAAAAATTATTTAATGCAAATTAATAACTATTTTCTCATGTAACCTCTTACAAGTTTTAACACGGCGGGAGTCTATCAAGAGATAACGGGAAAATAACATCTTTGAGAAAACAAATTTGAGATATAGCCACAAATGAGAGGCCGGCAGCAAATTCCATCTATTACGGCCTTTTTCAATGTAAGGCCCTGACTCTCATGTACAACGATCGCCCACGCAAGACAAACTGGGAGTTGCAAGCGTGAACAAGGGCCCTTTTTCCCTTCCCAAGAATGCCTAAACGGGACAACTGGAACGAGTTTTTTGTAATCAGTAGTCACTAGCAGGGCCTGAATAAGTGTCGAATTCCACCAAGATTGCAATAGGAAAGAAAGGCGGGCCTTGATTTTCTTCGAAAACAATTTCTTGAACAACACCCACCGAACCATTAACCAAACCAGTGTCAGCCCATAAATTGACCTGAGCAGTGAACATTACCCTTAAATTTCTTGACAAAAGACCTTTAGCCACATCGGAATCTGCTTTACGAGCATCATTATCACCTGTATGAACGGTATGAACGGAATTAGTTCTAGCAACAGGGGAATTCAAGGATCTGAGTTTATTAATGTTGAATTTACAGGGCATAATACAAGTGGAGTCGGAGAATCGAGCACTTTCTAAGGATGCTAATACGTCTGGAGCATTAGAAAATCGCACATCTTCAATCGAGTCACCATCACGCAATCGCAATAGGAGATCTCTTGTTCTTCTGAATCACCTGATTGAAGTTGGACAACACCAAGATAATAGACCTTACAAACTGACAATAAACAGACATAGCATCATTTGATAGGGAATCAAAACGTAGTACTTGAGAATACATCGGTTCATCAAGTACAGGCGGGAGTTGTCCAAAGTTACCGACCAAGATAACTGATCGTCCACCAAAGACTCGAATTCCGTATTTCTGGAAGGCTTGACGCAGACGTAAGTACCAAAGCAAGCATGTGACGACCGACCTTACTTTTTTATCAATAACGAAATAATACACATCATCTAATCTGCATTGTAATTTTCGTTGGTTAAATCAAAATTTTTGCTAGATAAGGGATAGAAAAAAACGAATTGATAGTCGAACTGTGAATGTTGAACGCTGTAGCACCAATAGGGACAAGCAGCATAACAGGGGAAATATTGACATCGTGAAGACGAGTAAGATCTTGAATTATCTTGATCAAATAAGATTTCCTGTACCAGCAGTGCCCATCACGATAAGTTTGACCAGATCAACGCATTCAGGGTTAGTAAGCAAGGTAGCGTAATGAGATTCAATTCTCTTGTATATGGTTTTCATTCAAAGATTAGGATCTACAAAATAATCAGGAACGTCAGCAACATTAGATTTGGCGAATTCGAGAGCTTACTGGATAAAGTTAGGAATGACAGCAAGATCGAGATTAGGGCGTACTCTAAGGTTGGCAAACCAATCACAATTTCGGTCGATATCGTGGAAACCCAAATCAGAAGCAATTTCAATCTCTGCATCAGGTCCCATCTCCGAAAGAATCATCCAATCGGGCGTACATCATTCTCGTTATCGTCAGGATTTTCAAAATCCAGATCGTTCTCGTCATTAACAACAGTATCTTCTAGGATATCCAGAAGCATTTTCGATGATTTCATGGTAACGTTCAAAGAGATCAGGTCAGGAGACAGAGTTATTCTTTTAGATCATGATGGCTAACATGGAGGAGAACTTTCATTGAGAGCCACAAAGCCATCGAGGAGCAAATTTATTGAGTTTAAAGAGACAAACTGACGCTGGAACGATAAAATGGAAAACCAATTAGTAGATGGCACGTCTCCTGAGCGATATATCACGCTTGGCAACATATCCGAGAACTAAGGAAGCTGAGAGGTTCTGATCTACTAGCGTATTTGGAAATGTAACTTAAGGCAACATTTAAATTAAGGATAGGTTTCAAATCAACATTCGCACGCCAACCTTGAAGCTGTAAGCGATCATGAGGATTAACAAGAGGATCATTTCTTGTAGTAATAAGCTCATCTCGTAAGTACGTATTTTCAATGGTATCTTTCAGATAGCCAAACTTGTAATATTGACGTCCTGAGTAGTCAACACGAAGACAATAAGAAGGACTATAAGTTATACCACCTATACCAGCATTATGTGTTTCTTTTATTGCCTCATTCTTTCGTCTAATGTAATTATATCTACTTCATTATAAATACTCTCATCAATTTCTTCTATTGGTTTATATATATATTGAGAAGAAGATTCTCACAATGTTACGATTTCAATAGATGATTCGGATGATGAACCCGTTGATATGGAAATTGATTATGACATTTCACAACCTGCGACGTTTATCTCGAATCAACTAAAGTCTTGGACTACTGATACCGGACTTGAACCTGTGGTAAATAATACACCAAAAGAGCACTCCATTCTTCGTCTTCTATTAATTCTAATTTAATATCCTATTTCTTGTCCATTCTTCATAGTGTGTTGCAACCTTCTTTTTTATATTCCCTTTATTTACTTTATTCTTAATCTATCATTTTCTTCTATCGCTATCGCATCTAATTTTATTTATTTTTTTTGTTTTTCTAAAATATTACTTATCGTTAAACCTAACCTATATCTTCTTCCAAATGTCTATATCTATCTATAATTTTGTCAAGTTTCGTTTGTATCTCATAATTTTCTTTCGTCATTTTCTTAATTGTCGCGTGATTCTTTAAGTTTATACATATTGATTTCTTCCATATCATCCGTTTTAAGTTTATTATATTTTTTTAATTAATGTGTTGATTTTATTATTCGTAGCACGTGAATTCCAATTAATTGTTTACTATATACTTCCACAGTTGTATTTTGTTTTTACGTTTCCTATTTTTCCAGTATTTTTCCTCATGATTCTCATTATCGCACCTTTAACTATATTTACTATTTCCTTCAATATTTTATATAATTCTTCTAATTTTATATTCTTTGATTAATTAATTGTTTTAACAAATAGTAATGATCTTAACTTCGGTTAATAGTTTCTTTTTTCACTAATTAATTTAACGCTATAATTATTTTAATGCTATAATTGTTTTAATGTACTAATTGAATCCTAATACATTTGTAAATGTGGAAAAAGGTTACGGTACGTTTCACAAAAGTATATTTTGTCGAAACCCATTTCGCCGAGACCATTTCGCCGGAGGAAAGTTTCGCTGTAGGGATATTTGGTTTCGGTGAAATGGACTTCGATTGTAACGAGAATTGTTATTTGTATTTGTAGTTAAAGGAGATGGGGAAGATATATGACTAATACACTAATACGAGTTGATAAATAATGTGACCTATTTATTTTTCGTGAGAGGAACGTTAAATTCTTTATTGACGAAGTTGATTAACTGATTAAGGATTATTATTTGATGTATTTTTTTCTTCTTTTATCTTGTAGATGAGAAAGGTATATGAATTAAAGGGTAGAAAAACGAAAGTTGGAAAATTGGGATAAAATTGAGGTAGCATAAAAGTTAGAAAACCATTAAAAAAAAGAGAGAAAGCAACGTTATTAGCTGATTATTAATAAACAACTAAATAATTACACCACTATTAAATGTATTATATAATTACAATAGTTTAATTTAATAAAATATATAAATTTATTTAATATAAATGATAATAATGAACAATAAAAAAAAATATATAAAATATTCAAATTAACAAAAAAAAAAAACTAATTTTATTCAAATTCAAATTTTTTAATGATACCCAACTTTTTATATTTTTCAATTATTTTCATATTTTCAATATTTTCCTCATTATTATTATGAATAATAAAGGAAAGTGATTTTTGTACCTTACGATTTTTCCAACCAATAAAAAAGGATTCCAAATCTTTTGAATCTAATTTTACATAATTACGTAATCTTAATTCATGAAAATTTTTTGGTGAATACTTAGTAACAGTTTCCAATACTTCATCACATTTTAAATATGTTTTACCACTCCTAATTTTAATACTTTCTAATTGTTGACAACTAATAAAAATTATTCTTAATGTTTTTAATTCATTTTTTATAAATCTAGTATAAAGAGATTTCAAATTTGGACAAAATTTAGATATAGCTAAATTTAAAAAATTATTATGTTTATCTATATATAATTCTTTTAAATTTTTTCCATTATTCTCTAAAAATTTAATTAAAATTTCAGCTTTTGGACATCCATTAATAAATTTTAAAATTTGTAATTTTGTAAAATTAATATTTTGTATTTCTTCAAAATCATCTCTATAATCAAATGATATAATAAGCTCTTGTAAATTTATTAATCCAGAAATAAATGATAAAGGTTCATAACTTGCCACTCCTTGTACAACTAATTTTGTTATTGTAAGTGAATGACTTGTTAATGAAGGTACAATTACTGAATAATCATCATAATCCTGTATTTTTAAAGTTAAAGATTTTAAACTAACTTGTGAAAAAATCAAATCTTGTAACCCATCTGAAACAATTTCTTCAAATGTTATATCTAATGATTGTATATGATGACATATTTGAGATAATTGATAAAAAAATTTTGAATGAACATTTGAACCACATGCTAATTCTGAAAGATTTTTTAAACAATCCTTTGCTCCAGAAAAATTTATGAAATTTGGAATATTTCTATCATAAAAATCAGAATAATAAGTCAATTTTTTCATAGTAGTTTGTTTCATAAACATTTTTAATATTTCTTGTGCAATCATATTATTCTTATTTAATAAAGTATATGTAGTAGATTTTTGATTCTTAAAATACTTTTTGTTATAAAATACATCATCAAGTATTAGATTGATATCAAGAATTGAAAGAACTTTACAAAATGATGCATAATTAAACAATGGAGATTTCGAAGTTAAAATTGGAATAGCTCCATTCTTATATAAGAGATCTTTTGATTCTTTAGGAAGACAATTAATTAAAGTATTAAGGATTTGTGATGATATTCCAAACCTATACGATGGTGATATTTTACGTTTTAAATCCCAAATGTTTCGCCACAAAACTCTAACAGAAACTTCACACCAAAGACGATTAACTAGTAAGCATGAATATAATGCAGTTTTATTTCCATCTAAATAATTAAAAATTTCGATAAGACAATCAGCTGGAAGTTTATTAGGCATTTTATCTATTATTTTTTTATAACAAAAAGTAATATGATGAAGTTCAACGTTAAAAATGATATGAAGTTCAACGTTAAAAAAGATATGAAGAAGTTCAACGTTAAAAAGGTGAATTTTCAAAAAAATAAAATCGTTGTTACCTTTTTATAGTAAGTTGAGTTTAATCGTGTTACAATACCTGTTGTATAACAGATAAAGTAATGTGAAAATTACGCCAATAATTTATACATTTTTGGGGGAATTTGCCGATCATTGATTATTATGAATGTTGTACTACAATTCGTGAATCGTGAGTCGATAAATTAAATTTTGTGGACGGTAGCTTAATTCTTTAATCAATCTCATTGATCCAGAAAAGGTATTGGTTTGTTATAAAAGTGATCTTCGAGTTAGAAATAATTATTTCAAGCTATTAAATAATGATGCACAATCAAATAATTGAATATCAATAAATCCCCCCTTAGAGTACATACCTATTTCCAATGATTATAAATGTCTTAAATATTCGTACATGCAATTTCAATTAATAAAAAATGATCCCAAATCTTTTGATGATTTTTAATTTTAATTTACGGAAATTCCTTGGTGAGAATAATAGCTTCCCAATATCGGTCTTTTTTTCGTCTGAAAATTTCCCATGCACAACATAAATTGTCACATCATAACTTGTTACACCAGTTTCCAATTATCATGAGAACGAATTTTTTTCGGGGGAGTAAAAATTTATTTGTCACACGGTTAATATAAAAAATCATGTGAACGAACACGGCATTGGAAATATCATTTTTTGGTATGAAGATCTCTTTTAAAGTTGGCTAGTTCTCATACGGTGAATCCCGAAGAATGCAACCCATATTTCGCTACCAATACTATTAAGAACCATCTTCTTACAACCCATTCAGTTCCATTTACGATCATTTATTTATTAACTAACTCGGCTAATTTTGTTTCATTCAAATTATATATCTGCCTTATATATTTTGCCCATTTATAAATAATGTGTATCCCCTATAAAAAATTTTATCCGTTATTTCTGTAAAAACTCCGTAAAAATGAGCCTTTCACGGATCCAAAATAATTCGATAAATTCCGGGATATAAAGTTATTAATTCCGAAAATGAGCCTTTTACGGAAAAAAAGACGGAACATAAAAAACGGATCGACTTTTTTACAGGGTATTAGAGATATATATATAAAAAATAATTTTTTACGTTCTTTCATATTAAATAAAGGAAATTTTATAATTTTATTCTCTTACAATTATAGGAGTGCAATCTGCTGTCGTTAAATATGGTGGTTCATCTTGTGAAGTCAGTGTTCCAACGCGTACTGAAGCCCGGGCTATTCTAAATCTAAAGTTAAAGAGGACCAAGTTACTTTCTTTGTTTCTTTGATTAGAAAAGAGTGACCAAATTGTCGTATGTCGGATGCAGAATTAAAGATATAGTACCTAAAAGGCTCAAAAGTGAAATTAGAGACGTGCTCAGAGAAGTAAACGCCGAAAATAAGAAACAGTAAATTGCTACCGACGCATAAATAATTGTAGAAAATGTCTGGTTCCCTATAAAAAATTTTTTAGAAATTAATCACATATCGGAGTTTGTTTAGAATGAAACTAGAAAAATGATCATTTATCGGAATTTTCTTCAGAAAATTTTTTATTGAGGTGTTGTCTTGTAGATTGAGTTGAGTTCTATTTAGATAGTTGTTTTGAAATATTAACTTCGAGTTTTAATCGGACATTATCATAACAATATTAAAATAGAATCCTTGAAACTATTTTGGTATAGGTAGAGCCCTATTAGGGCGTTTACAATCAGGACATAGTATTAGCCGCATGGTAAAAATCATTGATGAAGATTTTTTGTGTACAAGCTATTTTGAATCTGACATCTCTAATAAATTCTCTAAATAAATTTTACGTAGTAATTATTCAAATTTGCAGTTTTCCAATTGTTAAAAACGGAAAACACTTTATGTTATTTAAATTTGATATTTTCATATGGGGCGATTTTTTTCCGTACATTTCCGTACATTTTCAGGATATTTTCAGGATATTTTCTGTACAATTTCTGTAAAACAAAACACAAAAATCACAAAAGCCGGTTAATACGGAAAACTTGCATAAAATGTACGTAAAGTATTCTGAAACATATCGCGAGAAATTAAATTTTTCGCAGTAGGAATTTTGAAATTTCTATAGAAAAATCTTTAATGATTTTTATTATGGAGCTACTCCTATGTTTATGGTAGGCCTGATTGTAGACACCTCAACACCCTATGTTATTGCAACAAAAGTTCATGTTTAGAGCCCTATAAAAAATTTTATCCGTTATTCTATAAAAACTCCGTAAAGATGAGCCTTTCACGGAACCATTCACGGAAAATGTAAATAATTCAATTCCGAGACATAAGGTTATTAATTCCGGAAATATGAGCCTTATACGGAAAAAAGACGGAATGTAAAAAATAGGATCGACTTTTTTTACGGGAGGGGAGTTGGGTTAGTATAAATGCTGATGCAAGATTTAGTAACGATTATTAATTTTATATGAAAGTTTTGTTTTAATATTTTAGAATAATGATGTTTATTGAATTTAAATATATATATATTTTTTAAAAAAGCACATTAGCATTTCCGTAACATGCTATTGAGATCATTATTTATAATAATTCAAAGTTAAACTTGTTTATAAAATTTTATTATTTTGACTTGTATACCTTTGTAATAAAAATAAAACAAAGTTAATAAAAAATTTATTTATATATCTTAATTCTTAAATAAAAAAAAAATTACGTATATTTAATTCATCATCACACGTTTTCTCGTCATTTTGAGTATGATAATCTGACTCCGTGTCATATATATATATATTGGGACGTCATTTATCATCATTGATTAATTTTTCGTCAAGTATAGAGAATTTAATGTAATGTATATGAAAAATCATAAAGAAATCAGTTCTTAAATTCGATTATAAAATAATTCATTTACAAAGGTGTTAAAGGAGTTTAACCATTTGAAAAATGTGCATATCATAAAATAAAATCTGTGGATAAATGCTTTGAACCAATGGACAAAACATTCTAACAACTAATATAATAATAAAAAAGAAAGGATTAATGTTCTAAGTTATTGTCATCAATATGGAATAAAAAAAAAGAATAGGAGAATCTATAAAACTAAATGAAGTGTTCTACCGTTGTCGCTACGTTAAAAAACTTCTATAGTCACCTGAATTTTTTTTTCTTAGTAATAACACAGTATTTAGAATTATAATAATTATTAAATAAGAAAAAAAAAGTATTTAATTTTATTTAAATACTTGCGTCTTTTCGATATCTTTGATCACCAAATTAGTACGTTAATATCGTTAAATCCTGTGAATATCAAACGATTGTGCATCATCTAAAAATTAATTATATTTGTGATGAACAAAGCTAAACCGATAATTGAATTGGATCATCGCAGTTCTTAATAAATATTTGTCGTACAGATTGGATCATATGATCAATCATACCAGCTTAAATAAATCATTTTCTTATTTTTTTTTTTTTTTTTAAAAAAAAAAAAAAAAAAAAAGAAAAAAAGAAAAAAATGTCAAATCAAGCAACATATTCGGATATTCACAGACAAATTCCTGATGAGCTCATCAAATATTATGATTATTCATACTTTCAATATATAAAACAAATAAGTAGTAATGTCGTTCGTGCTACTTGGAAAAACACTGATCGTTTTTTCGCTCTGAAACATATTAATAACGATAAACAAACTTTCGAACAAATTATTAGAGAGGTAATATATATATATATATATATATATTTTTAGTTATTTTACTTTGATTAGATAAAAATTAAAAAAAAAAGAAATTATATTTTTATACCGTAGTTAAAATTGTATCGGAGTGTTGATTTTCATGAAAATATTTTACGATTTTACGGTATCACGAATGTAGAAATGGGTAATTTGTATCATTTTGATTTATAAATGTATTAAATATATTATTACCTATTCTTACTTTTTATATTTTTATTATTCATTCAGATGTTTATGAAGCAAAAAAATATTCTTTGGTCTTAGAATATGCTAATAGAGGTACATTGAACACTTATTTAAGTGAATATTTTGATGAACTTGATTGGGATGACAAATATAATTTATCATTGCAACTGGCAAGTGCCGTGGAATGTATGCATAATTGCGGTGTTATTCATTGTGATCTGGTATATTATTTATTTATTTATTTATTTTTATCTTATTATAATGATTTTAAATCAATTAACTATTTATTTTATTTCTACTTTTTTAAATATTATATAGCATCCGAATAATATACTTGTACATAAGAATAATATTAAAGTGGCAGATTTTGGGTTATCGAAAAGGATTTCTGAAGAATCAATTAACGCACCAAAAATTATTGGCGCAATACCCTATATAGATCCAAAAATTTTTAATAATCGAATTGATTATATTAATGAAAATCAAAAATATAAATTCAATGAAAAATCTGATGTATATAGTATAGGAGTTCTTATGTGGCAAATTTCTAGTGGATATCAACCATTTAATACAAAAGATTATGATATAGATTTAGCTTTAGGTATAATGAACGGAAAAAGAGAAAAAATCATTCAAGAAACTCCTATCGAATATTCTAATTTATATCAAGGTAATTAATAATTTTTAATTATTATGTTAATAATCATGTTTTTTTTATTAAAAAAAAAAAAATATTAATATTTTTCATCATTTATGTGAAAATAGAATGTTGGAAATTTGAACCAAGTGAACGTCCAAATATACAAAACATTGTATCTATTTTAAAAAAATTAAATTTTTCAATACAACAAAATCCGGGATCAAATAAAAACATCATGAATGATGATTTAATGTTAGAAAAAATTGCGTCAAACCTTAATTTACTCAATTTAATAATTGTTAATGAATCCAAAAGTGGTACTGAAAATAATTCATCAGATACATTAATTCAATTAACGGAATTATCAACAGATATATTTGATTTAGCATCTAATAAAATCAATAATATAATTATCGATGAGTTTATTGCATATTTAATTAAGAAGCATGATAGAGATTTTACTTTTGGAAATATTAAACAACTTATCAATCAACAATTATTAAAATTAAGTCAACCCACGGATAAAATTATAAAGTGGTTATCAAAAAACCAAGACAAGATACAATATATTTGGTTTCTTGGTTTATTATACTATTTTAATATTGGTATAGAGGAGGATTTTAATTTTAAAGCTTTTAACTTGTTTTTAAAGGCGGCGAATGAAAATTTTCCAATTGCGCAAGTTTATCTTGCTAAATGTTATTTTGAAGGATATGGAACTGAAATAGATTATAATTTATCATTTAATTGGTGTAAAAAATCCGTAGAAAATGATAGTATTATTGGAAGGCTTAATTTAGGATATTGTTATAAATTAGGTATTGGAACTGCAATTAATAAAAGGAAAGCAATTCAATTATATGAAACAGCAGCTGATCAAGAAAATAGTAACGCGCAAACTAATCTTGGAATTATATATGAAAAAGGTGAAGGAATTAAAAAGGATTTAAAAGAAGCCATTTATTGGTATAGTAAAGCAGCAGAAAATGGTAACAAAGTTTCACAATATTATTTGGGTAAATGTTTTGAATTAGGGAATGGTATTAAAAAAGATTTGGTTAAAGCTTTTGGATATTATAAGATGTCAGCTGATCAAGAATATTTAAACGCTCAATTTCAGCTTGGATATTTTTATTTTAATGGTATTGGAACTAATATTGATAAAGAAAAGGCATTTAATTTATATAAAATAGCAGCAAAAAAAGGACATAATATAGCACAAAATAATCTTGGATTTTCATATGAAAATGGTGAAGGAACAATAAAAGATTTGAAAAAAGCTATTTATTGGTATAGCAAAGCAGCAGAAAGTGAATATGAAGTGGCACAATATAATTTAGGTAATTGTTATAAATTAGGAATTGGTGTAGAAAAAAATGAAGTTAAAGCTTTCGAATGTTTCAAAAAATCAGCTGATAAAAATTATTTGGATGCTCGATTTAAATTTGGGTATTGTTATGATGAAGGAATTGGAACAGAAATTAATAAAGAATTAGCATTTGAAATATATAAAGTAGCAGCAGAAAAAGAAAATAGTAATGCTCAAATGTTTCTTGGTAATTTATGTAAATATGGTCAAGGAACAAAGAAGGATATAAAACAAGCCATATATTGGTATCGAAAAGCAGCAGAAAATGGAAATAAAATTGCACAATATAATTTAAGTAATTATTGTAAAGGATTTGGGATTGATTTTAATAAAGAAAAAGCTTTTAATCTATATAAAACTATAGTTAAGAAAGTACATAGTATAGCACAAAAACATCTTGAAAGATTGTATAATAATGGCGAAGGAGATAATTTAAAAGATACATTTTATTGGTATGGAAAGGCAGCAGAAGGTGGATGTGAAATAGCACAATGTTATTTAGGTAGTTATTATGAATATATTATAAAAAATAAGGTTAAAGCTTTTAATCTTTATAAAAAATCATCAAAGAAAGAATATTTAGATGCTCAATTCCAACTTGGATATTGTTATGATGTAGGAAATGGAACTGAGGTTAATAAGGAAAAGGCATTCAAATTATATAAGAAACTAGCTGAAAAAGAATATAGCATAGCGCAAAATAATCTTGGAATTTTATATATTAATGGTGAAGGAACTGAAGAAGATTTAGACAAAGCTATTTATTGGCATAATAAAGCGGCAAAAAATGGATGTGATGTGGCAAAATATAATTTAGATATTTATTATGAATTTATTGCAGAAAATGGAACTGTAATAAGTTGATACTTTGTATTATTTATTATTAGCTTACAATATATTCTATTCATTTGTATATTCATAATTCAATAAATTTTGTATAAAATAATTTTAAATATATTATCAATAAATATGTAAAAACTTTATAAAATTTCTTGTAAAATTAAAATTCATCTGTGAATTCATTTGAAAGAAAGAAAGTGTTGATACCAAAATTTATGATAATAAGCCAGTGAACGTGCTACAAGTTAAATACAGTTTAAAATAATTTTATTTCGATTTTATTAGAGTCTTAACTAATAGCTATGTTATTTACTGTAAAATTTGCATTAATTTATGTAAACTTTCTTAATATGCAAAAGTATTATTTTTACGGTAAACTTAATTATTACTTAATGACCTAGACCGTATAAGAATTCAAAATTGATCATGTAATAAATAAAATACTTGCATCATATTTATAACACAAATATTTTCTCTCCTCATCTTTATTAAAAATGTCTCAACTTAAGGTTGATATGTTGATTGCCTTAACGAAATTTTTGAATAAATAGAACATGATAAAGTCAATCACCTTTGGTATGATGTTTAAATTCTATATGATAAATAATATTATTGCTTAATCCTTAGCTTCAAAACTTCTAATGTTTAACTATGCATCATTTTGTATAATTCTATCAATCTGTGAATTTAATTGCGAACTTGAACTAATATTTATGTATTGTGTCACGAAAGTCTCTTTTATAAGAAATTGGATTAGTTATTTATTATTGTTAAGATCAAATGTTACTTTTACCTTTTATATTGGAGAAAGAGATCGTTTAAAAGATCTTTAAGAACTACACTGTTCTTCAAATATTTGTCTTCAATCGTTTTATCGATTATCTTAAATATGTCATAATATACAATTATTTGATATAACATTTAAAAAAAGTTATTTCAAATAGATTAAAAGATTTAATTTCTGTTCAATAAAATTTAAAAAATTTACAAATATTTCTACCTTATTAATGCGATGAATATAGTATAGGCAGTGAATATGCAGTATGTTGATATTTTTTAAGTATCAGTTGCTTAAAATTAATTCAAATTACATATATTACTCAGTCTTAAGATATAGTTTTTCGAGTTTAAGTCAAAAAACTTAGGAAAGAGTTTGCTGATCTTTGTATCGTTTCTTTTAAGTATATGTATATTATTATTGTCATTAAATTTTAAGTTAAAACATAGGTGATAATTTCATGGTATAGTGAGAGTTTACAAAAAATCTTTTTCTTTATTTTGATAAACTTCAAGTATTAATTTTCATAAAAGAAAAAGAAATAGATATTTTATTTAAAGTAATAAATTTTTTTGTATACATTATTTCCTAAACTTAATTGGTAAAATCGGTTTGATAAATATTTACTTTAATAATTTTACAGTCTAATATTTTAATAAGGACGTATTGTATAGATTATGAGGGAAAATCTAATATGTCATCATCATGTTTATGGTAATTGTAAATTAGGTAAATTTTATTATTTTGGAGAAAAAATATACAATATCTCAATAATCGTCTTTAATAACTTTAGTAACTTTCTGAACTAATGAAAGTTGTATCTATATATATTTAATTACATAAGTTTTATTTTCTAAGCGAAGCATTGATTGAATAATTAGGTAGCTCATGATTTTATTTATTGTTTTTTCTAATAGTAGAAGTTAGTCTTACCGGCAAAAGAATAAATTGTAGATTATAAAGTTCAACGAAAAATTCAGAATTTATACATTATTTGGGTTTAACAAGTATAGCTTTTAACTTTATTTTATTAAAACTGATGGAACAGTTTTATTGTTTACATTATTGTAAGAATCATACATTTTTATAAACTATAGGTAAGCATATTAGATTTATGATTTTAGAGTTATTAGTAAGTGCCTGTCTGTTCTTTATAATCTGAGACTAAAATATTTTTTTTAAGATAGTTTTTTTGAACAAATTTTGTTTCATGTTCTACAATATAATTATAAACCTTATAAAATACTAAATGTGTTAATATAATGGCTTACTTTTCAGTTCAAAATAATTGCAATCGGACCATTTCCACAATATCGTTAAATAATTAATATTGTATTGCTAATCTTTTATTTTTTTTTTAAAAAAAAAGAAAATTATCTAAATATTATACATTATTTAAGAATGATTTTAGGAGTGCAAAGTAAAATATTCATTTCTAAAATAAGATTCCCACTTTTCTGGACCTATTCATTAGAGAATATACTGAAATTAGCAAATAAAATTAATAAATTTGCTTAGTTTCTTGAAAGTGCTACATTGGTTTTGAATTTCATATTAGGAACTATATATATAAACATAGGAATATAATAAATACTCTCTTACTAACTTGCCAAAAAATGCTAAACCAAATACTAGCACTGTATAATTTTTAATAAATCAAATTGATATAACAAAGAGGCAACAATTTCATTTATTACTTACGAAGTATAAGTGAATAAATCTTTAGGAGTATCGCGATATAATACTAAAAATTAAATATAGTTTTTCGTTAATAGTTGATCAATATCAATAGGATTATAACTTACTAAATATTATTAGGAAAACATTTCCAATGAAATAACTGTGATTAAATTATATTTAAAGTTAATATATTCAAGGTAAAAAACGTAACGCGTATGAAATTACTTACAGAATTCCTGAATAATATATGTACCTCTGTATAATAGCTTTACAACACAACATTATGTAAAGATACTAAATACGAAATTTCTCTCTCTCTCTTTATTTAGAAATTTGGAAAAAAACATTGCAAGTTTCATACCTGTACCAATACATACAATAAAGCAAAGAATAAAAATAATTTTAGTAATAATAATCGAAGCTTTCATGGTTAAAGTATAATTATGATTCAAATTTGCTTTCCTTTATAAAGTATTTTTCTTTTTTTAGAAATACTATACGGATAAAGAACAATTTTATTTTTATTATTCTACCAAAAGAGAAAATAAAACAATAAATGCATTGGTGTGATGGTATATCGTCATCTGCGTAAATGGAAAATCCAATTGTATTTTGTGATGTATCTCACAAAAAATTATAATAAGATAGAACAATAACTCTTAAAATTGTTTTTGTTTTGCTTCGAGAAAATTAACTACTTAAAATATTTAGTTGACCCAATATAAGCCCATATAAAAAATGAATGACTGGAAAAATGCAGAGAATGTCCGACGGAAAATTGCAATATTCCGGATGTTGAGACATGATTGTGATTTTTCAGAAAATGTCTAGGAGGATTCAGGCCTAGTGTTGAGAAAGTATTTTCTGGACATTTTCAATGACAATTTCTGATATTTTTTTTATAGGGAAGAGTAACCATTTTGGAACCAAAAATACGTTATTATTTTAGCTGAAGAAAAATGTTAAGAAGCTCATGTTTATGTCTCAACATCATTTTTTAATTTGATAATAGTATGGTATATATAAAAAATATTTACAATAAATATTAAACTTTCGATATAATTATATTTAAAACGTATCAAATTATAAATTATATTATTTATAATTACTTTTAAAATTTAAACTGTATTCAAAAAATATTGAATTAAAACATATACGAGATCTTGAAATTAATATTAATCATCTATTGATTTTTTATATATATTTAAGAATATAATAGAATGGCGTCCTGATGAAATTTTAAATTTGTTGACCTACGAATTTTAAATTTTCTTCACTATTGTGGTAAGTTAAGAATTAGCAACTTACTTCTATGATTGTAATTGTACTATATCCTATTAGGGGTCCACAATATTTTTTTAAAAAGTTACTTATTTTTATTTTATTTTATTTGTGTTCCTTTACTTTCGTTGTCTTTTTGTTTATTTTTTTCTGGTACAGTAGAGGTGCGTTTCCAGAGAATTGTTGGCTTACGCACCCGAATCAATATTAAGATTACTACTTTTTTTTGTAGTTTCTTCCATGATCATGTTGTCCTTGAAATTTCTTTAGAAATGAATTGATATCTCCATTCAGCATAGTATAATGAGTTGACAAATCATTTTAAAGATAGATTGACCGATACTGTAATACATGTATGGTACCGGTTAAATTTTCGGTGAATTAGCGTTACAAGTTACTAGAAAGTGCTGTCACGTGATACTATGTTATTATGTTCTGTATATATAAGCATTTATAACAGTTTATTAACTATGGGCAGATATTTGACGATTATTGCAAAGTTTATGTTAATTATATGTTGATAAAGAGATGTTTGTGTCTATTCGTTTAAATATATGCGAATGAAATGTTCCTTACAATTATTTATTATTTATTGCTATTACTAGTAGATTATTACCCATTAAAATATAATTTATTAACTGAAAAAAATGAAATATAAGCTCGCTCAAATTAATTTATAAATCAAATAGGAACAGAAAATACAATCAAGGATGTGTTATAATATCCATTACATTTGCAAACAGTAATTCAAAATGTTTTATTGCAATATGTTACCTAAACGCTTAGTGTGCAATGCTGTTCATTACATAAAGAAATTAAGAATTAATTTCCTTATCAGACTAGTAGTACAGTATTACGTCCCGATGATTATTTAGTCAGCAGCAAAGGGTTATCCAATATATCCAAAAGAAGCTCAAAAAATGGCAAGTAAATAATTTAAAATATGTTAATTTTATTATAATATTAAACATGATTTATTTATTTAGATGATTATAAGATTAATTTTTTCTTTGATTTATATAAACGAGTCAAAAGTATCATAAGATATTTATGAAAACATAGAATTGTAGGATTGAGTCAGTCTGGACAAGTCTCTTGGTCTACACGATAAAAGTTGAGGGATTAGTCCATCACAGTAAAGTTAATTTTACTTTCTGGAACATGTGCATGCATTAAATTTAGTTGTATGTTATTTTATTCTTATCTTACATTATACTTGTGTTATATATATCATTATATCATGCTATAAAAAATTTCTTCCCCAAAATACTTAAAATTAGCGTAC